CTGCTCAGGAGACAATAAAATGAATGGGCATCTTTAATTGAAACACTGTGCCCATTTCGCTAGTTCCAAGCATCATTTCTTGTCCAGACATTTAGACTTATTTACGCGCGGCAGCTTGAAAACAAGTAGCATGAAGGATAGCGTGCGTGGGGCTAATTTATCCCTCGTCATTCGTCTTCCACTGAAAGTTGTGGACATCTTATCGACATATTCAGCCCAGTTAGCCTATGAAGCGAAAACATGCCAACGTCGCCCTCTTAAAGCAGCCCCTTGCCAGCTACCCTACTCTCGACAAAAGGATTATTTGACTGTTTTAGAGAGGATTTAATTTTGAGAACATGCAACAGGCCCGACACTCCGTGCTGCGCCGCCTTTTCGAATAGAGTGCTGGGGATGGCTCGAATTGACCCCGCTAACGTCAACTTCTTGGATTTTACAGTATCCTCCTCATCCAGCGATGCACGTCCTCAGAGACTTCTGCTGAATACGACTATCCAAATTTTCCACTCCTGCACGACCCTCCCCCCGGGTCAGCCTTTTCAACGGGCCAATCAGCTTACCAAGCTTTTCCGGAAAATTGCCCTTGAGCGGAGGCCGGGTATACATAGTGCGCGTGTAACAGGAAAACCAACCAGTAAATCAGAAAGAAAAAACATTTCTCTACAAAATACGAACTCCTCTTCAGAGGCCAAATACGCCCTCCTTCATATGACCTGCCTTACTATTGGACTAGTAGAAGATAAGAGGAGAGTTTTGGTTTTTTCTGCTCGTTCTTTTACAAGCAAGTATACTCACCTCTGTAGGGTCCACATTGCCGTTGGTGAGACGTCAATCTGCGGCGGATCTTCGGCGCTCATCGAACCTTGCACTCGAGGATGCAGCTCATACTCACAAACTATGCCTCCATCTGCGGTCGCGATCAGAAGCGAAGGGGAACGATCCGACGCCATTGTACGACTGGCGAACGCCAAAGAAATGCGCGCCAAATCGACACTTGCGCGTCGTTTCGAGGCGCCACTAGAGCCAACCGCTGCCAATGCCAATGGTGCCAGATCTTTTCCAAGGGCAAGGAGGCTTGAGGCGCTCATTTGGGGCTGAAATAAGTATGCAAAAAAGTATCACAGTGCAAAGGCAGCATCACATCTACGATCTGAATTGAACGTACTCTGATCTTCTTCACCGAATACAGCATAACCGGTGGTGGATAAGGCCCTATGCGAGGATTCGCTGTTGACCGAGCCATAGTGCGATTCCACATACATGGATGTTCCCTAGAGCAAATAATCTACCAGTGAAAGATAATAAAATTGAGCAGCATATGAAAACAAAAAAGTAAAACACGTTGGTTGATTGGCCAACAAACTTCATGCGTTGGAAAACATTAGAAATTCAGATACTATTTCCTAG